ACATTTTTTTTACCGACTGTTAGCACCCTCGGCTGCCAACTCTTTTTGGTCCAGTGATTTTGTCAGTCTCAACTGTCCCATAGATACAGAAAACAAGGGTATTTGGTATACCCAGCTTGTTGCCCAAGCAGCATGCACAAGACCTTCAAGTCCCCACACATTTGCCAACTGTGGTCTTCATATTTAAGTTTACGAAGAACCAATTCCAAGTTCTCGTAGGTTTCCTTCAAGTGTACTGAATGACCTACAGGTATGGAAGCGTAAAAACCATTGTGGAGTAAAACTGCTATGAGACTTCTTTTTGAAGAATCTATAAAAAGACACCATTGCTCTGAATCATATTAGATTTTAAATTGACCCATCAGACCATCGACATTGATGCAATAAACCAACTTGTCTTCCTGGGCGAAATAAGGAATGAACTCCTTTTCACGATGTCTGAACCGTGAAGCTGACACTCCTGACAACAATAATTCATGCTTTTCAGCCTTGATTTGAGTAACTCAGCGGCATCTTTGGGAAGATTCAAGTCTCTTACCAAATCATTCATCTCCTCCTGAGAAAACAATTTTGGTCTTGTATCATCTTCAAAGTCAGAACTTGATTCGTCATCTGGTTCAGGTATGACTTCACCTTCATCGGAGCTAGGTATCTCTTCCAAGGTAGCAGGGGGCTTGGGTACTGGTATATCTGTGCCATGGGGGATGGGACGAATTACTGAGTGAAGATTGGGGTATGAAATGAAATGCTTCCATTTGGAATTAAACTCTTTCACATCGCATGAACAAAAGTAACAGTCATCACTATGGTTCTTTTGCTCTCGCCATACCTTAGGAATCTCATTAATGGAAAGATTTTTTCTTACCCTTGAACCAATTTCAGAGTTCCTCAAAATACCATTTGCACACTTTATGAGGTGCCCAAACTTTATCTTGATTTCCAATTTTTAGTCCAAAGTATGCAAAGTATACTTTTTTCACAAAGTCTGTAATATTCTGCTGTTGCTTCAACACTGTATATTCACCATGGATGAAACAGAAACTGTCTGGGGAATTAATACACTTTTGCAGAGCCATAACATAACGGTTGAAGAATGACAAGCTAACATGAATTGCGATGAAAAAGTGTGAACAGCCTAGAACCAAGAACCTGATGATTCATGCACAAGTGTGGCATGCAGGAGAGAGCAGCTCTGTATCTGTACACGAGACATCACAGTGCTGGCCATGCCCCCTGCACTGACCGGAGATGTTGCTATCTGCCCTGTGTCTCCCTCCCACTGGATTCTTTAGAAAAGATTAACCCCTTCTACCATTAGAAGCACAGACTTAAAACTTGCTTAGCTTATGTATATATTGCTGACCATCAGATTTACAGTGCTATATTTTTTTTTACATATCTCAGACAAACCCTTTAAGGTTTTTTTTGGCTTTTTATATCTTAAATGCACTTATGTGAATTAATTAATAGTAATTTGGACTTTAAATTTGGTTAAAAACCCATAATATAAAAAAATACCAAAAATTAAACGAAAATTGATAAATTTGAAGACAATTTTGTATGTTGTGGCAAATCATGACAGCTAGGAGTTTTTTCAATATTTTATTTGTTTTCAGCACACACCAAAATACATAGAAACTAGATGAAAATAATCAAACAACTTTTTATTCGCAGACCTGTGTTGCCTTTCATTTAATAGAACATATTTGAAATTCTGGAAGTTCAGTACAGATTTCAGTTCTGGAATCTAAATCAGTGCTTACTGTTTGAACATTACCTTTCCAACGGTGTAGGACTTCAACTATCAATGTCTACAAAACTATTAAGTGTAATGGAGATAAGAGTTATCACCTAACCCATCTGGCAGTTTGTAGTTGAGAGAGACTGTTGTCCATTCTGTATCATCAGGAACTTTGAGTCCACATTTCTATTTCCTGTCTTATATCTTATATTCCTCATCTCTTATATCTTGCCTCTATTTCTGAAGTTATTCAATAATAACAAGCATGCTAAAAAGGTCTTCTTGCCTTTGATGCTGTTGTGTACTCAAACCTTTAATAATTAATTTCCTCATTACTTTTACTGGGCTAAAAAGGAGAAAGACTATCCAGGAGTAAATGTTAATAACTGTGCCTACAATTTAATGGAAGTGTTTCATTTACATGCTTATGCAAGCATCTTCATCTGAGTACTTGAATCTACCACTACACTTTTATTTATCTTCTTATTGCTGGCTTTGATGAAGGTAGGCTATATTATGAATAAGCTGGTTGCCATGGTGAAAATCTGAGTCCTTGTCTTTTGTATACAACCTTTCCCATCATTTAGGATGCTGTAGAAGAAAAGTGTGTATAATATATAAAGTATAATATATTATATATGTAATTTATTTCAGAAGTGAAATAAAATTGTATCCATTTTTAGATATATCTTAAATTCTATACTTCATCATCTTCCAAATTTGATTTAAAACCTATTAACACTCAATGACTCTGTAATGATAGGGTTTTTATTTTGAGTAGTGGAACCATACAATCCAGATAATGGCTATGGAGCTACAAGATCTGTGTATCCACTGACTAATTCTTTACCTCTATAAGACTGTTTAAACAAAGAACCAGTAAAAAGCAACTGATTCCAGATATCACAAATGTGGATGTTCCTTTTAGTTATAGTAATGTGGATAGATAAATGAAAGTCTTTCACTGCCTTTTCGAAGCTATTTTGCACAATAAGCCATGAAAACCGTTGTCTTCTGTACCTGTTTGTTTTACTTACGGATATTTGCAAAACAAACTTCATAATTTGACATTGGAATAACAAAGCATTGTCAGCTTCCATAGGCTAATAGAGTTAATCTATTCTTAATAGATTTGTGAATAGGCCACACTTTTAAACTAAAGTTTGGAGGATGATGGTCTCAATAAATGGACAGTAATATATTGATAGTTTTGAGGCAAAAAGGGTAAATTTTTTAGGGATAGGTTTTGCAATACTTTTAGTTCTTTTTTATTTATTTAAGTGATTACAGTTTGGCAATGTTAAGTAAAGAAGAAGCTGAACACATCTTTAGGAGAGGGAAAGTGAAAAAATAATAATGTAGAAAATTGTACCTCCCTTTCTTGTAAGTTTACCTCCGATACTTTATCTTTAAGATTTTTAAGCATCAGAAGGACAACTTAGTTTTAAGGCACCTAAGATTCTAAAGGTCAGAATTATCTGTTTTAATGTACTAAAACATTTTGGCTCGTGAGTACATTAATTGTTGTTATTGTTGTTGTTATCATCATCACAACAACAGAATTGTATCACAGCAGCCAGTTGTTTCTCATTGGCATTGATTTGGCATTGATTACTAGTTGGGACCCACCCAGGGGCCTAGGACGTCGTAACGTATTTTCATAATATGCGGGCAGATCCAAGCAGTGCGGCTTTTTGCATTTGACTGATGGTGANTGAATCTCACCAAAGATTAACCACATAACAACAACAACAACAACAACAACAAAGCAATACTTGGAAACAACAGATTAAAAGAGAAAAAATAGGGAGGGGGGGTCACAAAATGCATAGGCCTGAAAATGGAAGTAGAATGACTGTTACAAAAAAAAAAGATAAGACTAGTAGTAAAAGGCACCTTGAGTGCAATTTCAAAACATCTGAAGCACCATTTGAACACAATTAGGTAGATTTATTTCAACATCTACCAAAGCAGCTTAGTTAACTGACTCATTTGATAGTGCTAATTGTAGCCTAGGCCATAGGCCAAAATACAAATGTTTGCACAGTCTTACACCAAGTGCACAGAAAAAAACATTTGTTTTTGCATGCATATCAAAAAAGAGCAATCCATATGCATCTATGTTATTGTCATGCATACCTAATTTATGATTTTCTTTGCAAAGAAAACATTAAAGCATTCTTGAGATGGAGTGAGATGAGTTCCTCAGCAATATTTCAAAGTTATATCACATAATATTCTCAATGTGGAAACGTGGAATTTTACTGGGAGTGACAGAAATATAAAGTTTGCAGGCTAGAGTAAACCTGTTCCAGTAATGAGACTTCAAAGTAAAATTGAGGGCTGATTCACACATTCAGGTGAAGCAATTAATTCCTCACAAAACAGATAATGATTCATAATAAAATGTATGATCAGCTTCCACTCAAACATATTATGGGGTGCAGAGGTCGGTTGCTGCCAGTTCAGCCTGGATCAGGCAAATCGGTAGTAGTGGGGGACGGAAGGCTCTGCCCACCCACACACTGCACATGCACAGAAGTGTCTCGCATGTGGGAGCGCACCCAAACCTGTAGTAAGAACATTGGCAACCCACCACTAAGGGGGTGAGGTGATGCAATAAAAAAATTCTAAAAAGCATTACTTGATTTGGCACTTGTTGAAAGTTAGGAGCACTTCAGTAATAATAGGAGTGATGTCTGTCTAATCCAAGAACAAAGAAACAAGTAGTTGCCATGCTTTGCTATAAGTTGGGCTAATTGTCTCTGTACTGAAACTGAAAGTCACGCAATGTTTACCGCTACATGTGTGTATGTGCATACATAGATGGTAGGTAGGTAGATAGGTAGATAGGTCAGATTTTATTGACTTACTTGGAAACAAGCAAAAGCGGAAACAATCAGTAATAGTCCCAAACAATTAATTTGTATTTATTTTGCAACCTGCCTTTGAACTACATATGGAAAGAAAATTTCCATACCATTTTAAAATGAAATATTTCTACATGAAAACCTGGGATTTATATGGTACATGATCAAAAGATCTTCAACATAACAGAACATAATATTGTAATAGCCAAAGATCCAGCACAAGTCCTTGAAGAAGATTACCAAGACTAGACAAGCAGCTTAAATAGCGTGTTAATATGCAGATGCTTAAATCATTTGATGATTTATGCTTTATATACAAGTTGATCAACTCTCCAGAATAAAGTGGCCTTCTTTCTCTCTGTCTCTGTAATTTTTTTCTTTTCTTTCAGATGATAGATATGATGTATTTTGTCATTATTATGTTGGTGGTTCTGATGAGTTTTGGTGTTGCAAGGCAAGCAATTCTCTTCCCCAATGAAGAGCCATCATGGAAACTGGCAAAAAATATTTTTTACATGCCCTATTGGATGATCTATGGGGAAGTGTTTGCAGACCAGATAGACCGTAAGCACGTTTATGATTCTCATACACCAAAGTCAGGTATCAAACTTTGATCAGGTGATGTCTTACATGATTATTGTTAACGCTCTCAATAAATGGCTCAAGATAGAGGACTCAAACATTAAAGGAAAGTATGATATATTTAAACTGTTAATCTGAGAAGGTGAAATCAACATTTCTATGCCACCCAGGCTGCTTTTTTCTCACCTTTAATACATATAAATCATATTCAAAGAACACATCTACGTTGGTTTTCTACCATTTAATTAATAATTGCCTTTCCCTGAGAATCACTGGTATGCCAAGAGATCCCAAGCACTTCACAATGAGGTCCATAGTTGAGGAGTCTTAACCAGATTAAGTTTGTAGTGCAGATTATATCAGTTGCCATCCATTAGTTTAAATGTGGAATGTAGGAACCATGTTTGCTGATAGACCATTCAATTATAGAAGCTTCTGCACCAGTTCTAGATTTTTACTCAGCATTGAAGTTACAGTGGCATTACATTAATTTGTGCCATATTTTTGACCTGTTTTTACCATCATGTTTTGGTATATTAGTAAAATAATAGTTAATTTAAAATATATTGTAAGTGTTGTCTATGTCTTGAATAAGAACTGCATACCACTTTGTACTTTATTTAGAATTGATGGGGTATCATGTTAAGGGACTAGGCTGCAACCTGTGAATTACCCGAATAAAAATTCATCAAATTCTCAGTTTCCCTAATTATAACACAGGTCTGCAAAAAAAAATTTTTTGAGAGCTGTTTTGGTTATTTCACATAATCTTTATGTTTTTTGGTGTGCTGAATCCGAAAATGACCTCCATTTTGTCATAGGACATCACATTTCCTGACAATTTAGGTAACTATGTTAAATAAGGCAATACCTCAAAATAAATGGAAATAGACTTATAAAATTAAAGTTTTATTACAATATTTTCATGAAAATCCTTTTTTGAACTGAAATGAGCTCACCTACACACACTAAACTCGATTCTTCTTCCTTGTGAGGCTCCTCTTGGTGAGTAGCATCTGGAATGCCTCTCTGAAGCATCCAGCAGTAGTCTGCTGTCATTGTAATGCCCCATTTTCCCTGGTATCTCCAGGGAAATCTCTCTTTAATGTCTTGGTGGAATCGTTCACCTTGTTCCTCACTCACAGCTCCCAAATTTTCAGGAAAGTAGTCAAGGTGGGACTGGAGGAAATGCACTTTCAAACTCATCAGGCAACCTAAAGCTTGAAATGCTTTCAGTATTTTTCCGATGATCTTTTTGTAGTGAGGATCTTTGTTCTTACCTAAAAATTTCTGTACAACTTCTTTAAATGCAATCCAACCTTCTTTTTGAGGTTCCGTCATGGTATTGACAAACTCTTGATCAACTATAAGCCTTCTAGTGTCTGGTCCGGCGAACACACCTTCCTTCAATTTTGCCTCCGACAGGCATGGAAACTTGGTGACCAAGTATTTGAAGCATTCTCCATCTCTTGGAAGTGATTTTACGAATTGCTTCATCAATCCCAATTTTATGTGGAGAGGTGGTAGAAGAACTTTATGGGAAGGTACCAAAGTTTCTCGGAGAAGATTTTTTTCACTGATTGTTAGCACCCTCGGCTACCAACTCTTCTTCATCCAGTGATTTTGTCGGTCTCGACTGTTCCATAGACACAGAAAACAAGGGTATTTGGTATATCCAGCAGCATGCACAAGACCTTCAAATCCCCACACACTTGCCAACCATAATCTTCATATTTAACTTTACGAAGAACCAATTCCAAGTTCTCGTAGGTTTCCTTCAAGTGTACAGAATGACCTACAAGTATGGAAGCGTAAAAACCATTGTGGAGTAAAACTGCTTTGAGACTTCTTTTTGAAGAATCTATAAAAAGACGCCATTGCTCTGAATCATATTGGATTTTAAATTGACCCATCAGACCTTCGACATCGATGCAATAAACCAACTTGTCTTCCTGGGTGAAGTAAGGAACGAACTCCTTTTCACGATGTCTGCACCATGAAGATGACACTCCTGGCAACAATAAATTCCTGCTTTTCAGCCTTGATCCGAGTAACTCAGCGGCATCTTTGGGAAGATTCAAGTCTCTTACCAAATCATTCATCTCCTCCTGAGAAAACAATTTTGGTCTTGTATCATCTTCAAAGTCAGAACTTGATTTGTCATCTGGTTCAGGTATGACTTCATCTTCATCAGAGCTAGGTATCTCTTCCAAGGTAGCAGGGGGCTTGGGTACTGGTATATCTGTGCCATGGGGGATGGGACGAATTGCTGAATGAAGATTGGGGTATGAAATGGAATGCTTCCATTTGGAATTAAACCCTTTCACATCGCATGAACAAAAGTAACAGTCATCACTATGGTTCTTTTGCTCTCGCCATACCATAGGAATTCCATAACGGAAAGATTTTTTCTTAACCTTGAACCAGTTTTGGAGGTCCTCAACATACCGTTTGCACACTTTATGAGGCTCCCAAACTTTATCTTGATCTCCAATTTTTAGTCCAAAGTATGCAAAGTACTTTAGAAGCACAGACTTAAAACTTGCTTAGCTTAAGTATATATTGCTGACCATCAGATTTTCAGTGCTATATTTTTTTTACATAACTCAGACAAACCCTTTAAGGGTTTTTTTGGCATTTTATATCTTAAATGTACTTATGTGAATTAATTAATAGTAATTTGGACTTTAAATTTGGTTAAAAACCCATAATATAAAAAAATACCAATTTTTTTTAAAAAATGATAAATTTAAAGACAATTTTGCATGTTGTGGCAAATCATGACATCTAGGAGTTTTTTCAATATTTTATTGGTTTTCAGCACACCAAAATACATGGAAATTAGATGAAAATAATCAAACAGCTTTTTAGTCGCAGACCTGTGATTTAGGGATATTAAGCTGATTTATATTACAAGGCTGTTCCAAGAATTTCACCTACATACTATCTGGGAGGAACCTGAGAGCGTTACACAGATATGTATGAAACTTCATTTTTTGTGTTCCAAACCCAGAATCCGTTTCCGCATATATTGTTGTAAAAATTCATTTACCTGGCCCTTTGCAAACCTCATTGTTCCTTTTTAATGCATTTCCTGATGGCTGTCTGTGTAATGTGCCAGACCAGATCATGCTCATATGAAATTTTGGAGCTGTAGGAAAGAGTAAGACAATTTTGTACAGACAGGCATGTAAGAAGAATATAGTTAGCTCACTTCTCTTCTGCCTGAGAGGACAAGGATGGTATTTAAAGATCCACATTCACTCTGAGCATAGTTAGAAACTTTTTCAGCTGTTCCCATAGATCTATTGTGATGTCAGATGCTTCTTTCAGGAATGAGTGTGCATCTACTCATGCAAAATTCAGTTACATAAAAATATAGAAAGAGAGAAGAAGATTGTTTCCCCCAATTATTCAGATTTGAGCAAGGTTTGTATTTTTTTAATGCTGCATTTTTATTTAACCTCTTCATTTTATATGCCCACTAGAAGGAAGCATTTGCTGAAATATCTTTATATATACTCTTTTCTTTCTACTATTGATAAAAGAAACCCATATCATTCTCCAAAGGGAAAGAAAGAGCGAGCAATTATATCTTTCCTCTTGCAAATTACCCTTCCTCTTTGTTCTGAGCCATAATGCAAATGAACAAAAGTCCTTCATGACTTTAACTTTCTGCTTGGCTACATGTTTCCTTTTTTGTTCTGTATTTGGGGTTTAGGAAAGCCAAGAAGTGGGGGAGAGGTAGAATACCAGACTGTGGAATTTCTTTTCAAAAATGTCTGTTCCTCTACAAGTGGCCATTTATTGCTGTTGTACTAAAAAAAAAAATCTACTGGCATAGTGCAACATGTTCCACAGCAAATTGGCTGAGGAAAACATGCTTTTTCTTGCCGTGTGCTGATTCTAGTTTAGAACCCTGGAAATGGAGAATGGAAATGACAAAAGCAGAGCATGCTGTAGTTCTCTTTGAACAGAGGAGCATATGTTTAGATGATATAGAAAACTATATACTACATCTGTTTTAAATATACACCAATGACTGAGCTTCTAATGAAGCTGCAGAAGTGATTATTTCAGCCTGAAGTGCTTCATAGTGTACTATCAAAAGTCAGATTGTGAAAAACCATGTATCACCCTCCTCTGGAGGACTTGATGATAGTTAATTGAGAATTAATGAATCTCTATGTTGTTTTAACCTCAGCATCCAAACAGAGAAGGCAGAATTTGTCAGCTCTTGTGTAATGCAAACAGCCTATTCAAAATCCCTATGATTTTGGCTAATTGTTTGGCAAAATAGCCAGAGGATAATGTTTGTTTCTAAGTTAAATTTCTATACAGAATGCAAATCCAAAATGCATAAAGAACTAACATAATCTGACTGCATTTAAAAGATAAAGTTATGTAAAAGTTGGAAAATGTCCCAAGATACGAAAAAATTGAGATCTGGGGAGAAAAAAAATGAATAGATGCTAACTGTTAATCTAGGACTTGTAAGTCCATCTTTCTGCTTCTGTATATTTTATGTTCAACCTATTTATTATTGATGTGTCATGGAACAACATGTATCTTTGCACACAGAAAGAGAGGATATTAAACCACATACTGTTATTTATCCATTCAGGGTACTATTTTCTCACTTTTTGGGGAAAAATATGCAACTGTTAGTCTCCACAGTAGCCTAAGCTAAATCAGCCACAACTTACTATGCAATTATTATCTTTCTGAATTATCAATCCATCTATCTTAGAGTTCAGTACCATTTATTTAAAAGTGTATGCTATATATATATACATACATAGATTCAGGCTTTTTTTCTTTTCCTTTGCATTGGTATTTCTTGTTACTAGTTATAAATTCTGGGTTCCTTTTAAAAACCCACATATCTCTCACTATTTGTTTGATCTTAATTTCATAAAATATTTCACTGAATTTGAGAAATATACCAAGTATTCTGTAAGACTCTAAGATAGGTTTGGTTTTTGGTTTCATTCTTTTGTACTGGTATGTGAAGCATG